GGTCCTAGAGAGCAAAGATGTGACCCGGGTAGCTTTGGGCCTGACTAGCTAGAGGCTGTTAATGACTTAATTGACTAGTAGCCAATTGATGGTAATAACTATAGCCAGCATTCCCCAATAGAAGGAAACTGGAATTAACGGGAGAGGATTGCTTTGGGTGACATGGTCAGATGGCTGGCTGTGTTCTGGCATGCCATTCCTGCTGGGCACCGAGGGTTCTGTCACAGTGAGGACAGACTGGGAGTGAATCAGTATTTTACATATCAATTACCTTAGGAGGAAGCTGTCTTTACAGTGACTAGTTTTCAGAGCATAGTGCTAAGCTGTCATTTTCTAACTTTTTTTATTGTGAGCAGGTTTGTCTGCCATTGTGGATTTCTTGGGCAGAGTGGAGTGAAGGTGCCCGAAGCCAAGAAGACACTGAAGCCGTCTATAAGGTATAGGCCCAATGGTCTAAGTCTTGGGGTGTGTGGGGGAATGGGCAGATAGGTTCACTAGTTGGCTAACTTTAGAGTTCTTTCTATAGCAGCTGCTCCTAAAGCTCTATTAATGGAGCAGCCTGAGATGGTGCTGGGAAAATTTGTTTTGATATTTATAAACTTCCTTATGCAGTTTGTATCTTTTTCCTTTTACATTGTAGAAAGCTATCTTAGCTGTCATGGGTGCCGACTCAGCCGCTCTGAAGGATAAGTACCTGGATTGGGCCTATCGAAGTGGCGGCTACAAAAAGGCCAGAGCTGTGTTTAAAAGGTACTCATAGATGTTCATAGCCGGTCCTGTCTCCACTCCATACTTAGCCCCTGGTACCCAGGTTATATATGTTTCACAGAGAGTATCTGAGGAAGTAATCCGAGAGACTTTCTTTTTTTAAAAAATTTTTATTGGGGAACAGTGAGTTTTTCCCCGGACCCATCAGTTCCAAGTTAAGTAATTGTTTCAATTAGTTGTGGAGGACGCAGCTTAGCTCCAAGCCCAGTCGCCAGTTTCAGCCTAGTTTCGGGAGGGGGGGCTGCGCACAGCTCACCTCCCCTCCCCATGCAGGAATTGAACCAGCAGCCTTGTTGTTCAGAGCATGTGCTCTAACCAACTGAGCCACCCGGCTGCCTCCAAGAGACTTTTTCAAAAAATGTCTTTTTCTTTTTAGAACAGTAAAAGCAGTTCATACTCATTGTAGAAAATTTTAAAAAAGAGAAAACTAATAATTCATTGTAATCTCATCAAGAGAAAAAAAAATGAATATATCACTTTAAAATTTGTCTTGCATATATTTGAGATTTTACTATATTCACGTTTTCTATACCACTTTTGTTGGTGAACATTAGACTGGCCTTTTCCCTATCAGTAACATTTCTTCATAAATAAACATCATTTATTAAAAATAGCTGTATGATATACCACTCTGGATGTGCCATAATCTATTTGGCACACTAATCCACCTGTGAAAAGCATCTCTGCACAAATGCAGAAATGTTGGAAATGACTTTCTTAGAATATATTTTTAGAAGTGGAATTATTGTTCTCCTTAAAAAAGACCTTGAGATGTATACATAGTAGAGGGACTTTAAAACTCTGAAAGCGAGAAAGAAGAGAACAGGAAGAAAACTGGATAGGAAAGAATTTGATGGTGAAGTGAAGTCATTGGAGATTGAAAGTGTTGAGAGTGACAGGTGGTCAGATCCAGTCCTTGCATTGAATTGTGGGCAGGTCTTTATTAAACCACATGTTGTGGAGGCTCTGGCGTAGGCATTTATGTTCATGAGATGTAAGAGGTTTCTGTCATTGTGGAAGATAACAGTTCTCCCTTCCTTTTCAGTTTACAGGAAAGCCGTCCATTTTCAGTTGGTTTTTTCAGGAAAGTAATCCAGTTTGAAAAGGAGCAAGTAAGTGTTCTGTCTACGTTTCTTGTCTGGGAAATTGGATTAATGGTTACTAATCAATGGCAGCATTTTGATATTTAAAAAGCTCTCATAATAAAACAGTATATACATTTCTGGTCCCTTTGTTCAACCCCTTTTACCATAGAGTTGGTTTAGGAATGGTAATCATGCGAAGAAGAGAAAGTACATGTCTGGGAAATAGAAAACTTTAGAAGTCAGCTCTTATAGAAAGTGCTCCCTGCCGGGCTGGGTGAGGTGCTGCTTTTCTGTCTCCACAGCATCCTGTTTGTGTCTTGTATCACATCCTGGTTGTGAGGTAAAGAGTAGGCACTCAGTAACTGTTTCTGGTGTTTTTTTGGTTTGTTTTTTAAGATTTTTTTGTTTTGTTTTGTTTTTGTTTTTGTTTTTAGCTGAGCCATCCTGCTACCTGTTGGCAGCTCAGCGGCTGCTCAGCTCGGGCTGGACTCGAACCTCTGTTGCTCAGAGCTCAAACTCTTGAGCGAGCTCTTAACCAACTGAGCCACTCGGCCGGCCCTGTTTTTTAAGATTTTATTGGAGAATNCCCCAGAATAACTTTTTCTTTTTAACCAGACTTGTTTAAACTCTTCTTTAGAGGAGTTTTCCCTTCAATTAAAAGGTATATGATGATTGTTAAGAGAACTGGTGATCTGATAAGTGTAATCTTTCTGACTTTTTCAGAGGCCATGTGGAAGTGTTACATCAACTTTTGCTTGGAAAGGTTTGCTAAGAAGACAAGTAGTCAGTCCCTCAGAGCGACGGTGAGGACTTTTACGTGACATGGTTATAGTGGGTGACTAGAAAGTGACTGTCTCCTGGGAGAAGGACAGACTCTTTTGGGGCCTGGGACAGTTTTCAAGAACTTAATGTTTAACTGCTCTTGCCCCGTATGAGTGACCTGTCACCCCGAAAGTCTAATTCTGCTTTGCCCTTATACTGGCCACCACATTAGGAGGTGCTCTCTTACTGGGCTGTGCTTGGTGCAGCTAACTCACCTAATCATAAGTGAAACCACCGCAGTCCCTGCTCTCAGCACTCAGAAATATGCAGAACTGCTTTCGTTACTGTCAGGCCAAAGACCTCTGCTGGGATCTTCGTAACGAACTGAGGGATTTTTCTGATTGCAGAGGCTGGAAAGAACCATGATTGCATTCAGGAAGGCACATGAACTAAGACTTCTACCAGAATTCCAGTACAAGCAGTGGGTAAGGACACAAATGCATTCACTGCCAATTACATGTACTTAATTCCAGTTGCTTTGTGCTGATGTCGTCTGCTGTAATGTCTATAGTTATGTGACTAAGACCATTTGTAAGTTTGGTATGCTAGATGTAGGGAGGAGTTACATTTGGCTCTCAGTATTTGGTGTATGCCAAAAATGAAATCTGTACCAGTCAAAGGAGAATATTATTTAGCGGAAAACACTCAAATAAGGAGTCACAGTTTGAGTTTATTTTGTTTGTCCACCCATCCATCTTTTACTGACCATTCTTTTCCTGAACTTCCAATCTAAATGTCGGTCTGAGGTTAACCATTGGTACAATAAAAACAAGTTAGATGTGTTCCCTGTGTTTCAGAAGCTGATATTCTAGTAAGAGGCATATTAATCCATCCTTACCCCCTGGGGTGGGTAAGGACTGTCATAGAGACCAGAGTAATGTGGTGTGGGAGCACATAGTTCTAGATTGGGTTTTGCCATCTAATAACTAGGTGACTTAGGCACATCACTTAACCTTTCTGAGTTCACGTACTTGATTTTATTTTATTTATTATTATTATTATTATTATTATTTTTTAGCTGAGCCATCCTGCCACCTGTTGGCAGCCTTGCAGCAGCTCAGCTTGGACCAGGAATCGAACAGGCTTGTGTACTTGATTTTAAAATAGTGATAGCTATCCTTGTTTTTGTCACCTCACAGACTTGTTGATAGTCTTACATGAGATAATGAATG